CAAATGCCTGTATTTCAGTAAATTTTTAAGCTACAGGCCACACATTTTGCACAGTTTCTAGTTTTTACATGTACATGTACAATAACATATATTTTTTCCAGATTTTTTCAAGGAGGTCGATTTCCCACCCCTAGCCCACTTGATAGGGAATGACCCACTGATAAATATGTCATAGTGTTGCAATTCATGAAAGCATATATTTAAATAAAAGCACAAATCTGGAATGAAATGAGGATCAACATCCTACTTTTCTGCACCAACCAGACTAATTAAGACCATGCAGTCTGCTATGAGGTAAATGTTTGCTTGGACAATGGTGTTTCCACATACTCTTCATCAAATTCCAACTGTCAAGGGTTCTTCAATCTTATGCCAACAAATATGTGGTTAGGGTTAGACTTTGCTTTTTTGGCCTGTACAAACAACTCAATGCTTTTTCTTGCCAGGTCATCCGTCCAGTACCACTGACATGGGGAAAGTAAGCTGGAAAATGCTGAGGAACTTTTTCAACCAGCACCAGGATTGAACCCAATGTCTCCTGTTAAGTGAGTCAGTGCCATACTCACTGAGCCACCATGACTCAACAGTCGTTTGATGTACTCAAACAGTAATGAGAAAACCAGTTTAAATTCACTTAAAACATAGTAGGTCTATATGCAAGTTTCAGGGTAATGCATATATGTATATCGAACCAAAGAATGACGAATTGGAATATGTGAATAATTCTCATCCCTCGAAGGTCAATATGTACACAACTATTGTCATTTGGCCAAGTTCTGATCCTTGTATTATCCCTTTTCAGGCTTATCTAGTGATAAACTTAAACAAGTTTGCCAATTGGTATTGTTAGGTTATATTGCCTTGGTACAGGGTTTGTATGTACATTGTACATCTTTAGGGTAAGTTGTAACAATACAAATAACTATAGATTAGTGACAGTGACAGGGTGTCAACCAAATGTCAATGATAAAGAGATGAGATAGGATTACACCACATAACAGTTATTGATCTAGTATTATACATTTAATTACTGTATGTTTAATGTATGTTTAATATCAATGTTAAATTCTTAATTTCAGATACATTATTAGAAATCCCAGAATAATGAATAATTAGTACTTAGCAAAATTCTGAATATCATTAGTGCAAAATAAAATCATATAAAGTCTACATGTATTCTACTTTCTTCTTCTTTGTATTTCTCTACGCTATACAATGAGTTGTATTTTGTATAATTTATACACTGTGACTAATTATATAAATTATTTGTCAAGAACTCTTGTTATTTTATTTAAAGACAAATATGTGTATTCTCAGACAAGAAATTCTTCTACTCAAAACCATGTATACTTCTTAATGGCATGTTTATGGTCTCTTCAGTAAAAACTTTTAAATATCATATTACATTTACAGTTGATGTTGAAATGACTCATGTACATGTAAAAAAGATGGTAGAAAACAGCTGTTAAACTTATCACAGATGATGTGGTTAATGGATTGTTTTCTAGGTTTTTTCCTTTGTGTTAATGAAATTTCAAAATAATAAAGAAAGCCTTAACTTATAGATGAAATTGGTCACAGTGGTCATTTGATTAGGTAATAAACTGTGTCTGTTAAATAAGTTATATAACTGTGAAATGCACTACAATCTATACACTGGGTGGACATGTCTTATTAGTGTCATCAGGTCTTTTCAGCACAAAGAGATGAACATGAAGATAATGAGCATTTCATTTCCTGTGCAATTCAGATCAAAATTTGACATTGACAAATTAGTATTATTGGCAGAACACAGTTTTTATGGGATACAATCACTAGTTTATTCTAAAAGCACGATGTTTCGACAAGTATCCTCTTATCGTTATCAAGCACAAATTATTGGATTATCATTTCTGAGACATGTACATGTACTACATGTATGTGGTTTTCAGAGACGGTATAATATGTTCATTATGATTAACAATACATAATCCACTGCTGCATAATAACTTAATGATTTTAAATATGCAAGAAGAATTAGTTTTAAGCTTTGTCTCATTCCATAAATAAGGCAAAATAAAACAGTGCCTATAAAACTTTTTTCATACCATTTAACGGTTAAAGGTGCTGGTAACTTGCACCCTACTCGAATTTCAAGTTTCCCTATAATGGGCATACTATGTCCAATGTGTGCACAGATGGAGAAAACTGTTTCTATAATCTTTGTGTTTGTTGCACTATCTGTTTTAGTCATATCTTTTCTAGTCGATCATTTACATTTTGTGTATAACACATCTGTTATCCAACAATGGGTTTTCAGATTGACATGTACGCTGTCTATTACTACTTTGACATCTATGCAATAGGACAGAAGAAAGTCATGTTGTTGTCAATCCACCTGGATAGAACTGGGTACCATTACAACTTTCAACTCAAAATTAATTAGATAACTAACTGTTAAAAAACATTAAATTAAAGGTCAATAAGTCGAATCTATTCACAGATCACCATATTTAGAACAATGTTACTGGTTCAAAACCAAAACAAATATTGTTAGGGACTAATCCTCAGGATAAAACTATTACTGGTGTTCAATACACATGAGGAATTTTTATAACATAACAGAATCCATGATGATGTAACACATCCGAAAAGGTGGTGATACTTGTACATAATCTATAATGTTGTGCTGTTGAAACACATAAAGATTGAAATAGATCTTAATATGCTTCTGCAAGCCTGGAAACACATGTAGCACCTTTCAGAGACATTGTCAGGAATAAATACAAACTTGTTAGGCACAATCCCACTGATGCATGTAACTGTCATTTTGTCTGGCACTAGTCGCTGTCTTTTCTTTTTTTTATCAATATTATTAATAGATGTCTGTACAAAGTTCAAACTCTCAGGTACTAGTTCAGGAGTGTCTGAACAACTAAGACCATTATTTCCAGTCAAATATTTGAATGGTGTAGATGAGACATTTTATCAGATGCCCATGTCTGACTGTGAACTGAGGTTTAATGTGTAAATGTATAAAATATATTTTTATGTTGATATACTGTACTTACCATCTGATTTGCCCTAAAGGTACATTTATACAGAACTTTATTGGATAATTGTGACATTAGGCTGGTGCAGTTCATGCAATACAGAATGAGAGAGAGAGAGAAATGGGATTTGACTTCCATTCGACACAAACTAGGTCATTTCAGGACTAATATGGTTCAATTTTATTTCCATAATTCGTTGCGCGTAGGCATCTTTAGCAGTGGGAAGAAACCGGAGGACCCGGAGAAAACCCACGAGGTTGGACAGGCGACCCTAATCCTTGTCACGTACAACCGAGGAATCGCAAAATACAGAATGAAAGCAAGCTATAAATTACATATATTTATTTGACATGAAAATGAAGTTCATATTCAATTCCAACTAAGATAATATTTCTAATTCACCATTTAATCCATTAGAATGTTGTCCTCTGAGAAATACACATTTGAGTGAACAGGTTGTCTTAAAAAAAATTTAATTTGTTATTTTTAGCTTGGCTTATTAAAAGCAAATAAGGCTTTTTTTATTATGGAAGTACATGTAGCTAGGTCTAAAGAGACTTTTATACTTCCAGTAGTCACGAGACAGAATGATCGTAAAAAAATAGAAATCCGAAAGATTTGTGAAAAGGTACTCTTTCAACTGGTCAACAATTTAGAACCCTAGTTCAGTTGCCTTCTAGACAAGACTACAATATTTAAATGCTAAATCAAACGTGTTTGGTTCATGGTAAGTCTAAGTCCCCTCCAGTTATTTTTCTTTTGTGAGATGAGAATTTTGATAAAAATCAATATTTGTGTCAAAGATAGATGAACAGAAATTATTGAAAGTCTGGAATCGACCACCTCTTTCATTGTATCAAGTTCAGAATGAGAAGATGACTGATTCAAATCAAGTTCATGCTCTATTGATAGAACTGTGTTTGACACGAAGAACTGGCTTTATAAATAATATTACCACAGATCTAGTACAGTTCTATGATATTACTATTACGATGTCTGTGTGGAATATACACTGCTACAGTCTTCAGTGATTATCATATATGAGCTATTATTATCCAACTTGTAACCAAGTTTGATTAGTGTAAATAATTCACTCGACCAGTTTGTTCTTTTATATCAGTTTAAGAAATGGTTGTTTTCCAGAAAGTGTGTTAATAAAGCGTGGTTTTATTAAAATGCATCAGACTGGTGGTCATCTAAACATAACAGATGACTCATGATCACCGCAGAACAGATGACAGGACGTAATCATTGAGCCATAACGACATCGGAGCACGTGCACAGCCCTAGCAAACCCTTTGTTTGGGTTTTGTGGCAGCCAATGCAACTGTTTACGAAAGACATCATCAATAGATCAGTGTGCTGATATATTCTTTCAAATTCAGTTGAATAGGAGTATTCTATAAAAAAGACCTTTTCATAGGAGCAACAGATGTCGGAGACACGCTCTCTCACAATGATAGGGTACGCTTCCGTCATGACGACAAAAAATCGAATATACCAACAATGATTCCCTACTCTGTAATCGCTTCATGTTTACTTGCTTTCTTTTCCAGTATTTTGCTATTTAATGTGGTAAGCTGTCCACCAATGTTAAAACACCATGGAAATAAAAGCGATTGTTTGAACCCGTTAACACTGTTATTTTAACTGATGTTGAAATGAAGCTTTAAATGTGGCATGTAGTTGGTCTCGATCTGACCCTAGGCTAGGGAAAAATCGACGACATTTGTATTAATAAATGTGAATATACATAGTCAACATTTAAACAAATAGATTGCGGGGGGAAACAAAGTGCGTAGACTATCATAGTAAATAATGATGAAAGACTGAATGTAAACATTGTCATTATTACCAATAAAGAGTCGTCTGCTTGACTGCTGCAATTGAAAGTAGACAAATCAACATTAAACTCGACCGCATGTTTTGACAACTAATAATTAATCAGGATGAAAACAGTTCATTTACCTTGTTTGATCGATACTTTCTTTCCATTGTATGCTGTTAAGACAACCTGGGGCTTCGTGTCCTCTAATGTAAATAATTCATCTTTTCCGACAGTTTTATTGCGACCCTTCATTGTGGCTGTAGCTCCAACTGCGGTCAGATAGGTACCGGCATTGTCACGAAAAGCTAATCCACTGTTAGCCCCGGATCTAATTTCTAGGGAAAATTTTGCATCTTCTTCCAACGCATTGACCAAGTGACCTTCTCGATGAAGGAATCGATCATCGCTTGTCTTAAGAGCATACTTTCCGTCTTCGAAATGCAAGATGATTAGAGATTCTTGGCCCCATGGAATAACAGCCGTGACTTGTAATTCATCGTCGCAAAGACGGGCGTACCTCTTGCGGTTGACATTATATAAATTAACTTGTGGGTGGATAGAAAGTTGGCCGAACCATAATTCCCCGTCTGTGACACTCTTGGAAAAACATTTGACATTGTCGTCGTTCCCGGTTAAGTAATTACCGTGAACAACGTTTCGGATAGCCCAGCGCCCACTGCCATCCTTGGCATATTCGACGGCAAATTTTTGTGATGGGTCTTCGTCTTTTTCTTCAGCTTCACATGTAACTGTTCCATATTTATCTGCAGCCATATATCGATTTAAATGACTCTTTATGTATACTACCTCCTCCGTAAGGTCCTGCTCTAGGGTCCATGTCTGCTTCTTTTTCAAAGCAGTGCCAGACGCGTTGACTTTAAATCCAAATGTTTCGGCTGTTAAATATTTCTGAGACGCGTTTAGCAATCCTACTTTCCACTGGTGAAAATGTACGCCACCATATTTATGTCCATTTATCCCATTTACTGCAGACATTTTAAATTATTTTCCGATTGTTCTTCACAAATTTAAACCGGTGAACGTTAGATACTACTGCTGCTGAGTTGAGTGTCGTCTGCCTTTATTCACTACACATAAAGTGAAGTCTATCACACGCGTTGTAGCCTCGATGCTGTTACAGAGTGTATGATGCTTTTTGATTGGCTAAACGACCCACTCCCAGTCCTTGTGAACTGATCTCAGTAACAATTTCTTAGAACTACATTAAGAAATATCAAGTCGCTGGAAAGATGTCAGTTAAAAAATTTTGCGATAGGGGTTAGACTCCCATCTTTAGTAGCCTATATCATTTTAAAAGCTGTTAAAAATCTAATGATGATGCCATTCTCGGTAACAAAGAATATTTTAACACTTGATTGGAAATGCGTCATCAGCCAGCAGGGTTAGAGCTAAAGAATAGTAAATTTTAAAATGAAATGGTTTTTTAACGTCCTACTGTTCTGCTCCGAACTGGGCTAATGAAGACGGGCATAGGCCTACAGTGTGCTATGAGGGAAATTTTGCCCGGACAGTGGCACTACGGCCTACTCTTACATCGAATTCCAACTGTCAAGGGATCTATTACGTGCATGGCAATGTGGGACCTTGGTTTTTCGTCCCATCCGAACGACTAGACAGCTGTCCTTGTCAGGCCCTCCTTCCAGCATCACTGACAAGGGGGAACCATGCCGGAAACTCTGGATGAACTATCTCGGCCAATGCGGCGAGCACCCGACCTCCAGGCTAGCGAGGTCTTACCCACTTAGCCACTGTGAATCCCAATAAATTTTGATTCTTTATGCATGGTATGGCGACTGTTAGTGGCAATTCTATATTCCCGCTTTTGTGGATTTCACAACGCGAGAAAATTACCTGACAGTCATCGCCTTCGTTTTGTCGTCTTCATAACGCGACAAGTCGAGAAAAAGCAGTGTTTCACAACTTGTTGTACCGCTAACTTGTCGCTTTCACAACCGGACAAGTCGCGGCAGAACAAGGCAAAGAAAAGCAGTTTTTCTCGACATGTTTTCGCAACTTATCGCCTTAGAAGATAATCAGTGCACATGAGCAAGTATTCTTCGGTTAATTATGGAAGCTTATCGCAGCTATTTCATAGGAAGTGAGAGTGCAAGAACGTGAGGGACAGGGCGAGAATGTGAGTTTCTTGCCCCGAGAATACAAAATTATTTTACTTCTCGCTCTTGACTGCTCGCCTTTGAAAAAAAGCCGGAATTAGATCAAATGGAACGAACATTTTGATCCGAGTTGAGCAAAGATCCGATTTAGGAAATCCGACTTACGCACAGAAATTTAATAAGAAAACCAAGCAGTATGAAAGGGTCCAAACAATTTTATCCAAGTTGAGCGATGATCCAACTTATACGAAACCGATTTATGCGAGGTTTACTGTAGTTTATCAAGCAAGCTACTTTTCTGCACCAATGCAGTGTCCTGAGGACAATTTTGTCCAGACAGCAGCGCCACGGCCTACTCTTATTTGAAATTCAAACTGACAAGGGTTCCATTACATGCACATCAATGTACACTGGATCCGGTGAAGCCATGCGGGACGGAGACCTTCTAGTTAGTGAACCAGCGCTACTGTGACTCCTAGTTTTTGGTAAAAGTCAGGGAGGTTTGTAATTGGGGTGTGACCAAAAAAAAGCTTAGTGTATTCTGTAAAATAAAATTGCCCTTGTAGCATCATATTGTTATGCACATAAGAAGACTAAAAGCACAGCATTAAGCGATTTTTAGAAAAATCTGGATCATCCGAAGAAAAAGGAATTTAAATTTTAAATATTTTTTATTATAACAAAGCTAGCATAGAGTATTCTAAATTATGTTAAATATATTAAAAGCAGACATCAGAATACATATAAAAATGACTCTCTTCTGAAACATAGATTCCCTAATTTTTATACGCTCACATTTTCATGTGGACGTATATTGTCGTCACCCCTGTCTGTCCACAATTTGTATGTGGACACCCTACAGATCACAATATTCATTCCATTTTGACGTAACTTAAAATATAGTACTATCACCCAAAGGTCTCGGTTCCTTTCAATATTGGCATTATGGCCCCTGAAAATCATGTTTTTAGCTTGTGGACACTCTAGAGGTCACAATTTTCATCTGATTTTGATGAAACTTGAAATGCATGTTTATAACCCAAACTTCTTGGTTCCTTTTGATATTTGCGCATATAGGATCGTAACTTCCTGAATTATGGCCCTTGATTGTACGAAAAATCGCTTTTTGTTTAGCTTGTTCTATATTTATCTCTTGCAAAATGTGGGCGTATCCTGCTTGGCAGCCGCTGGTAAAAGAAGTATGATATGCGTTGGTAACTGCATATTGAACCAATGCAAACAAAAAATCTTTTTAATCCTATCTTGTGTCATTTTCAGGTGTGGCAAGCAAAAGCAATGCTAAATAATTGCTGTTTTTAATCCATCGTTTTGAACTACAACAGAACCCTATCTGTATAAACTTTTTTTTAAAAAAAGATAGGTTGCCAGGCAACAAAACATGCACCTACTAAAACATTAAAAATTGATTAAGAAATCATTAGAATTTACCTGTTCAAGTAATTGTTGAAAATCAACAGGATTTTTTGTCTCAAGACCTTAAACAAAGTGTATAAATTTACAGTCAATCGGGTGATAACTTTTGTCTCTATGGTCACCATACAATTTTCAATGTGATCAAGGGCAATAACCCTGGCAATTGTTGAAAAGCAATAGGCCCCTCCCTCTCAAGACACAAGTGTACAAATTCCAAGTCATTCGGGTGATACCTGTGGTCTCTACAGGACCCATAAGCATTTTCAAAAAGATCAAGGACCATAACTCTTAAAGTAATTATCGGAAATCAATAGGCTTATACGTCTCATGCTTTATTAAACTATGTATAAATGTCAAAGTCAAACGGATGATAACTTTGTACTCAAAAGCGTCTACAAGGAATATCAAAGTGATGAAGGGCTGTAACTCTAGCAGTAATTATCGGGAATCGTTGAAAATCAACAGGCTTCTTCCTCTTGTGACTTGAAACACTGTGTATAAATTTAAAGTCAATGAGTCCCTAAAGCATTTACCAGAATCTTCAAAGTGATCAAGGGCCATAACTCTGGCAGTAATTATCGGACTGATATTTTGCCGTATAAAAATCCTAGTTTTTCAGAAAATTCATTTAAATTTCACTTTCTGGTGTTATCTTTAACATTCTTCAATATAGCGTCTTATAGCAACCCATCTTCATTAGCCCAGTAGGAGTAGAACAGTAGGACATTAAACCCCATTTTATTTAATGTCATTTCATCTCATAGCAAATTGCCTTCAGACAGCTTTTGAAAAACTTAAAATGTAACTCCTGGCTGAGAAATTACATTAGGATTTTCCAGTGTGGTTTCGCCTAGTCATTGGTGCAGGGAGTGGGGGGGTGGTGGATGTAAAGGAACAGCATCTAGTCTTTCGGATGGTACGGAACTGATGTCCCGTATGTCCCGTAATGAAGCATTTGACAGTTGGAATTTTTAATAAGAGTAAGCTGTAACGTTGCTATCTGGGCAAAATGTCCCTGATAGCACCCTGCATAGCGTACACCTGTCTTCATTGGTGCAGAAAAGTAGCTTGTTTGACAAACTATGCCGTAGTTTAAATATCTGTGGTCTGTCCCCAAAAAGTTTGTTTTTGGTCTACAAAAACTATATTTTCCAATGAAAAAAATGACATATTGTCACCAGGAACGTTCAAACTAATGACATGATGATAATCAATGTGATTTGAGTTGGAATTTTAGTAGATTACTGTGGATTTGGGTAGATTTGTGTGGGTTAGGGTAAATTGTGCTGTTGGTGGTAATCAGTGAACATGCATACCAATTCAGCTTCCTTGACGAGAAGTCGAGGGAGGAGGGAGCGAGGATATTCAAAGGTAAGAAGTCCAGGTAAAATAATTTCATGTTCTCAAGATTATGACAAGGCCGCATTAAGCTTCCATACTTAACCGAAGAATGCTTGCTTATGCACACTGATTAACTTCCGAGGTGTTAAGTCACGGCAAGTCAAAATAATTGTATTATGTCTGGTTGTGAATAAGTCAAAGAAGATAAGTTGACAAAATGATGGTGACGATTGACAGGTTTATTTTGTCAACTTGTCCCCCTCTTAAAATATGCAATAACCTATAGTAGCTTTAATTCGTCATGCTTAAACTTATTGCAGTACTGCTAATCTTAAACTTATTGCAGTACTGCTAATGCAGCCAGTCCAGAACAATGGGTGTTGGTTGTACTGATAGTCATTTCATTTCTCAGAGAGGTATAAATGAAATGGGTTTAACGTCCTACCTTTCTGCACCTATGGGCCATGGTATTTATGAAGACGGGCACTTGCCATGCAGTATGTTATGAAGAAAATTGGCCTGAACAACGGGCTTTTTCGCATGTTCTTCGTCGAATTCCTAACGGTTCTTTTACGTCCAACACGAACGACTAGACATTGCAGGATTCGAAAGTTCCAAGGAAGTTTCTAAGCCAACAGCAAACCTGGAACTTGGCTGGGACCCCCCTGGATAATGAACCAGAGTCTTACTACAAAGTTATACTACAAAGAATAACCATACACTTTTGTTGTTTTTGTTTTTTTCAAAAGAAATTTAATGGCTTAAAGTACACAGCACTACGAAATATAAGCGCCCGTTGCGTTAACGTTTCCAAGATAATTGCACATGATGCAAATGTCCAGATTTCGACATTTATATTTTCATAAATATAAGCTTACGCCACTGAGGGAACCCTTGTTTATCAGAATAAATGATTTAAACGTATACATATCCCAGGATCTATTTCTCTTTGTGACACCAGATATAACCAATTATCTTGTGATGTAATCATACAGCACCATGCTGAGCGTGAACAATAAAATATCTATGACATGAATCACCCTTGATTCGTTATAATGAAACTTTAATTCGTGGTTTTTGTGTTTGAAACCGGGAAATGGGTAACTATAATAGTTATGGCATAATTAGCACTGTGTCGAATCAATTAGGCCCTACAGGTTATTTTAAAAAGATTATTTTACGAGCGCGATGACAATGGC